TAGCTGTTGCATTTTTGGTATCGCCTGTCTAGTACATTGTAAAGAGGGGTGGTCTGCGAAACGCCCCCTGCCTACGGACACGTCTGGTCGTGGGCCGGGGGGGAGTCTTACATGAGGACGAGGGGTGGAGAAGGAACAGGCCCCGATTGAGACGTGGCTGCGTAGCTCGCGCGTTGTGCGTGCTTCTGCTGCCACTCTGCATGTTCTTCGGATGTTCGTGTTGGCTCTGTTCCCTGGGCGCGTCCTCGGTCGTGCCCTGGCCGCGCGGTGTCCCTGCAGGGCTGGCGCCCCGCGCTCGGCGCATCCGCGTCCGACGCAGCTTACTCGACGCCAGCGCCTGGGCGATGCAACAAAAAGGGGGTCGTCTGCACCGACCTGGGCTCGTCAGCTGCCCGCGTCAGGTCGCGCGTCTCCAGTGCGGCCTGCTGCGCTGGCGGCCCGCGCAGGTCGTGGCGCGAGGTCGCTGCATCATCTCGCGTACGACCCGCTTCTTCTCGTCGCCCACCAGTCCCTCGGCATCGCCCGGACGTGTGCTTTTTTCTTCTGCGAGGACCATGGAGGTGCATCGAGGATCACCTTGCGAAACAACAAGCGCACGAATCCGAACAACGAACGGGGAAAGGACGTCCGAGCGACGGCGAGGTCCGCGATTAGCTGAAGTTGCAGATGAACTGCTCGGCGGCCCTCCACCTTGGAGGGCCTACGTTATGACCTGTATTCCCCTGCAAGGCTGGGGGTAGGGTTCGGACGTCGCCACCTAGGAGAGCGCAGCGCCGGTCCAAGAGATCCGTGCGGTATGTGAATGCCGACGCTCATGCAGATGGTCTGACCTACCGTGGGAGGGCGAGGACGGTAGAACAGAGTGAGGAGGAGGGGGAGGAGAGGGACGACGAGAGATTTTGAGGAGCGGGGGGTTGTTGGGCGTCCATGCCTCCCTGACCTCGCACATCTTCTTGCTGTCCTCGCACGTTCTAACTCACGAACTGTTTTTGCCGCCTTGTCGCTCTGCGGTAACGGACGGCGTCAGAGCCACCATGACCAACCATGAGGAGGAGGAGGAGGAGGAGGAGGAGGAGGCGGAGGAGGAGGAGGAGGTGTAGGAGGGATGATGATGATGATGATGATGATGATGATGATGATGATGATGATGATGATGATGATGATGATGATGTTGATGTTGATGTTGATGCTGCTGCTGATGCTGATGCTGATGCTGATGATGATGACGATGATGATGATGATGACGATGACGATGATGATGATGATGATGAGGAGGAGGAGGAGGAGGAGGAGTAGGCGGAGGAGGAAGAGGAGGAGGGACCAGGACGAAGAGCAGGAGGAGGAGGTGGAGGATAAGGAGGAGGAGGCAGGAGGAGGAGGAGAAGAAGGAGGAGGAGGAAGAGGTTGGAGGCGGACCATTGTAAACCCAAGAGGCAGCGTCGATGTTGAAATTCACCCTACTTCCAAGCTCCCTCTTCATAGGCCCCCACAACGGTTCAATCCCATTGAGGGAACTGGCTCGTTGGAAGACCACCGTTTGAAGACCCTGAAGCATGCCAAACCACTGTTCTCGGGATTTCAACGCCACGCATCCACCTGACTGCTGCGTCTTGACGATCTAGAATCGAACCGTAAGGCCATTTTGGGCACTTCATTACCGCAAAACAGCATAACTGTTGCACCCGCATAGTCCTAAAGCCTTTCTTAACACAGTTTCTGGTACGTTGATCATGGGAGGCCGTGAATCTCTTCCACATCTTGAAAACGAAAGTGCGCGGCGCCAAGGCGAGATCCACATTTTGAAGTGGAGCCGCCCTCAATCAATGAAGCTCTTGCACATGTTTAAAACGAATGCTCGCGGCGCTAAGGCGAGGGCCACATTTTGAAAAGACACCGCCCTAAATCCGTGAAGCTCTTGCAACTTGTTTACGAATGTACGAGGCGCTGAGGCGAGAGCCACACTTTGAAAAGGCACCACCCTCAAGCTGTGAAATTCTTGCGCAGTTTTAAAACGAATGTGCGCGGCGCTGGGGCGAGAGCCACATTTTGAAAAGGCACCGCCCTCCATCCGTGAACTTCATGCACAGTTTGATAACGAATGTGCGCGGCGCTGGGGCGAGAACCACATTCTGATAACGAACCGCCCTCACCCCGTGAAGATCTGGCATATGTTTACAACGAATGCGCGCGGCGCTAAAGCGAGAGCCACAGTTTGAAAACCACCCGGCCTCCATCTGTGAAACTGTCGCCATATTTGAAGCTTCAAAGTCGTAGGTTGGTGACGAAGTCTCGGCGAAACGCCCAGCACGCCTTGAAAACTGGCCTTGGGGAATGACAGGGTGAACTCATGCAAAGGGAAAGGGAATGGAGGCGGAGGAGGAGGAGAAGGCGGCGGAGGAGGAGGAGGAGAAGGAGGATGGGACAAGGAGGAGGAGGAGGACGAGGAGGAGGAGGACGATGAGGAGGATACGGAGGTGGAGGAGGAGGAGGCGGAGGAGGA